CTAACAGTGACCATCATTTACTAAATGAACGGCATCTTATGCTTATAAGGCCTTATGCCTTAAGTCAGCATTGATTTGTTTGTCACATGACTTCCAGACTTCTGCAGTTACTGTAAACCAACGATCTCGGGAGATCAAACATCGACACACCAATTAGAAGAATGTGAGATGACACGACTTCCTCTGGGCGTCGCGCAGTTTGCTGCAGATCACACGGGCTCCCAGATAACCACCAGGAGGGCGGAACAGCGCTCCGGGGTCCTCGTCTTAACCTCCAGACCCCCGGAGGCCGCTCACATAAAGCTCGCCGTGGGTGAAGGACCTTTTCAGAATACCAAACCATGACAACGCGCTTACCATGCAGCTTCTATGTATAACACAAAGTTAACGCTGCTCAGCAGCTCCTCCAGTGGTGGAAACGCATCATGGCACAAGAGGAGTATCTCACTTTAAAAAAAAAACGCTGCTGATACCACGTGAAGAATTATGAAGCAGTGACTTCCTCACGGTGGCTTTAGGTAGAGCTGCTCCTCCGCTTGCCGTTTACTCACGTCGAAGCCCTCGAACAATCAAAAGCAGCAGCTGCTAGGAGGTGAAACGTTAATGAGTTTGCGTCGTGTTGTTGTCAGTGTTGCTGGTTGTTGGTTCTCTCCGTCGGACTCGCTCCCTCGGGGCCTCGCGCTCGATCCGCGTGCGTTGTGTCTGGAGCCCTGAGCTTGGAGATGCTCCACTATGACGTTCCTCAGAGCCTTAGGGGCGCATGACACGCGAGGAGAGAGGAAAAGGACTTAGGAGATGGGGAAAAAGAAGACACGGGAAAGGAGGAAAGAATAGGATGGAGGAGATGACATTAAGGAAAGAAGAAACTTAGGAAAGAAGGGAGGAAATTAGGGAAAGAGGACACATACAAAGAAAATGAGTGGAAAAGAACCGAAAAAGAAGAAGAAAGGACAGGAAAGAAGAAGAGAGGAGGGAGGGTGGCGTAAACAACGAAGGTAGAGGGGAGGAGTCAAGAGAGGATACAAGGATATAAGAGTAGTGGGAACAGGGACGGAAGATGAGACGTGAGAGGAAACAAGGAGAGGAGAAGAAACAAGAAGAGGAAGGCAGAAGAGAGGAAGCACACAGGTGACAGAAACAAAGAAGGAAGAGGAAATAAGCAGTGAGGAAACCAAGAAGGGGAATGCACATGAGAAAGGAAATGAGAAGGCAAGGAGGAGAATCACTCTTAGGTAGCGGGGGAGAGGAGGCAGGGAGAGAAGAACAAAGAAGGAAGAGGGGGGAGACACCTCATTGGGAGGAGAGGAAACAAAGAGAGACGGCGAACGGTTTGGTGTGTGTTAACACCAAAAACGAACGTCCCGGCTCAGAGAGATGAACAGGATGTGTTTGGCTCCCTGAGGCTTGTCTTTTAGGGCGGCCACACAACAGCATGACAGGACGCTGCGTTCACGGCGGCATTAAACCAGGAGGCTGATGAAGTTCTCCCTCTCGACTCGGCCGCAGTGTGCTGATGAAGCCGGCGATGATGAGCCACGAATTACTCGACACGTTTGTCGATTTTGAAAGATCTTTTAAAATCCAAATCCGACTGATGAGACATTTGCACACGGAGCATCACTGCGTTACCTAACGAGCCGGCAAAGCCAAGCTAATAGATAATGGTTTAAAAAAAAAAGACAATAAAAACGATACAAAAAAAATCTTTGTGACGAGTAAATTTCATGGGACAATCCGATCAATGTTGTGAGATTAATTAATATTTGTCTCTGGCGCTTAACTAATTTTCATATTTCATCCAAAACCGGCTCCTTTGAAAGGAGGGGAACAAACTAACTTAAATACAAACTTCCCAAAATGAAATGAAAAATCAACAGATGTCTGATCCTGTTTATAAGAAATCAAACAGCCTTTGTTTGAAAGTTTATTTGAAAGAATTCCCCGTGTTTTGTTAGCTTGTGTAATTTAATTCAGACCTTCACGGCTGGAACAAAAATAATTTCTCCCGAGTCTACATTCACGGATACAGATCACAGCATCGGCCCATCGGCCTCCCTCGGGCGCCTCAGGGACGCGGCGAGCGCCAGGGCCAAGATGGCGCTCAATGATGTGCCGCTCGCCAGGGGGACGGTAGGGGTTGGGGGGATTTTTCGATTTCTCTCGATTCTCTCTAGAACGATTCGGTCTCGATTCAGAAAAGTTAATAATCGGGGAAAATATAATCCGTCTTGCGCGAGACATTTCCTCGCTCGCGAGGAGAGCCTCTGCTCGCGCTCGAAGGTGTTTTCGACGCGCTCGCTGTTTTTCTTTTTGACAGTAAGGGGGCGGAGCCAGTCACCATGGTCTCTACACCTGATTGGTTACAAACCCTGTCTTTGGATTGGCTGGAGTGATGCGTTCACACAACTACAGAAGCACATTTCCGCACTAAAGAAAGGGGATAAAAAATTATGAGATAAAACGTTGTCAAAAAACAAACGCCCCCCTTCGGTGATCGTAGTGGACCGTAGACGACAACCAGCTACAACCATCATTTACCATCATTACCGGCACATTAAGAGCAATGCGTCCAGCTCGCAGACCGGTCCGTCAGTCTGAATCTGAATCTCTAATAACTTGAACTATGGAGGAGCCTGCGCACATCTTACCTCATTATTTACATTTTCCAAAAAGTCGATCCGTATTGAAAGTTGGCGAGATATTCACAGATTTTAACTTTTTCCCGGTATTTTACAAATACGGACCGGCCTGAGACTAACAGCAGCTTTTTCTTCATTTAAAAGGAAAAATGAATCTGTTTAATATTTTTATTACATCGGCTACTCCCATATTGTGTTGAAATGAAAGCTGCATTGGTTCATTGTTGATAGAAAATCATATTTGTGACAAAGATTTTTTTTTCTCTTCTAAAAAATTTGAGAAGGTAATTCATCTGTTGATTTTCTTTAATTATCAAATAAAGTAGGAAGTGATTAGCAACCTCTGAGTAGCAGACTCAGATTTGACAATCGAGATGCATCGATAATCGTTTTATCAGTTTAGAATCGATAATCGGCTTAGAATCGAATCGTTGACCTCTGAATCGGAATCGAATCGAATCGTGAGGTGCCAAGAGATTCCCACCCCTATGGGACGGAGGCGAGGACGCCATTTCAGCCGGCGGGCCGGTCCAGCACGGCTAACGCACCCAAGACAGCCGGTGACACAAACCCAACCGTCCAGAGGAGCTCTCGAGCGTGCACGTGTGTGTGTGTGTGTTTGTGTGGGTGTGTGTGCGTATGTCCTTCTTGCTGTTTAACACATCTGTCTGCAAAGCGGTATACGCCTCACAAACACACACATTGCACCCACAATGTGCACACACACACACACAAATTATTTCTAATTGGGGAACAAACTCGACTCATTTGTTTCAGATGGAACAATTAATTGTGTTGTGAGATATTCCACTGGGTCGTCGGTTTATTAATAGACGTCTATGGTGCCATTTGTGACAATGTGTTTGTGTGTGTGTGTGTGTGTGTGTGTGAGTTAGTTTCCTTCTCCATCGGAGCTTGTGGTTTTTTTCTACGGTTGTGTGTTTTAGGGTTTCTGTTCCAGGGTCAACTTTGGCACACCGGACGTAAACATGAATCAAATTAATCACATGGATTAACACGTTCATTCTGACAGCCGTAGTTTTTTCACATAGTTAATAAGTTAAAAGCAAGGCACATTTATTTGTTCAGCCCATTTCAACAACAAGGTGATTCAAAGTGCTTCACATAAAACCATTAAAAGCAATACAACTTTAGGCAAAGAAAAGGACATTTCAAAACCACAATGTAAAAAAAGTTTTAAAACGAGACTAAAAGTTGCAGTGCGGTTTATGAAATAAAGTGTGAAAAGCACAGAGTTCATCCGTGAATCTGGTTTAATTAAAGGCGGCAGCCGACAGATAGAAGGTGTTTCACCGCTGGCCTCGGTTTACACGTCCCAGTGCTCTTCTCTAAAAAAAAAAAAAAAAAAAGGAAATCTCTGAAGCAAAAACTGATGAATAATTCAGGCCTGTTTGAAAAGAAGAGAGTTTGATCCATCGTGAGTACGACGGCGTAACCCCAGAGGATGCTCTCCTCCCCTCACAGCGAACGACAATGTAAACGACAACGATATCTCTTAAAGTCTCGTTTTGCATCACGTGGACATTTATTGGGCGTGTTTTGATTCATATCAGGCAGCCACATGCTTTAGTTTCATTTGGACTGTTTTTATAACTTATCATGTGTCGTGAGTATTACTGTATTATCGTATAAACCAGGAGAGCGGCGTCCACGTCCCAAAGTGTTATTATATTAATTATATAACAATTATATTCTCTTGTGATGTTTGTACCGTATTTAAAGTATTTTTTGTTACATTACGTTTATACACTTTTTTTGTTCGTGAAGTGTTTTCTGTAGTGTTGTTAACATATAAGTTCATGTACTTATTTTAGGATTATATTGTGTTTTCTGATCCATGAACTATTCCACTATTGAAATAATCACAGATATATTATTTTGTTTCTTTATGAACGTAACATAAGTGGTTTTGTTGCCTAAAGCCAAAGGTGATCATTTCACGGTAGCGATGTCAACGGTTTTTGAAAGGTTCAAAGGTCACCGACAGGTGGGAACTGATGTTTTTTCCAGTAACAAATTGTTATCACGCAAATGTTTGGCTTTTTATGTTGGGAGGAACTGAACCCAATATCTGCCATTTATCTATTACTTCTCATGTGCTACAACCCGGGTTCATGTCACTCTCAATTTGATAAAGTAGTTTGTAACAATCAACAATGAGCATTATTAAAAGTAACAATTCTCCTTCACTCCATTGGAAAGTTGTTGTAAAATCTGAGTATAAATCAAACATCACCACCTGTTGGTGACTAAAGAGCTTGTCAGCTGCTTACACAATAAAAGGAGGGAAAGTGAAACTTAAAGCTGATTTGTTTCTCGTTGCTGAACGGAGAACATAGGCGCATCACAGGGTGAGAAATCTCTCCTAAACAAGATCACAACCATCGAGATCTGTAGTTCAGAGTCAGATTTGATCATTCAGAGCAAATGGCTGAAAATACTGTTCTTTTGGAAAGTTTCCTGAGCTGCCATGTTTGTTCAGAGACGTTCAGAGATCCCGTGTCTCTGAGCTGCAGCCACAGTTTCTGTTCAAGCTGCCTGCAGCGATTCTGGGAACAAGCTGGAAACAAGAACTGTCCCATCTGTAAAAGTAAGTCCTCAACAGATGAACCAGCAGTGAACTTAACACTGAAGGGACTCGCTGACTCCTTTGCTGACAGACAGAATAATGGATCAACTCAGACGGAACCAGAGAAGGAGAAAGAGGAGGTGGTGTGTGAAGAACATCCAGAAGTCCCTTATTGGTTCTGTGAGGACGAGCAGAAAGCTGTGTGTCCTGTCTGTGAGTTCTCTCTCCACCAGAGTCACAAGGTGGTTCCTCTAGAACAAGCAGTCAGGAACCTGAAGGACCAGCTGAGACCTGACTTGGAGTCTCTGCAGGACAAGAAGGACAAACACCAACAAGTGGAGAAAACATACAATGAAGTGATCCAACTCTCCAAGGAGCAGCTGGTGTCCACAGAGAGGAAGATCAGAGCAGAGTTCAACAAGCTCCACCAGTTCCTGAGAGAGGAAGAGGAGTCCAGACTGGCAGCTCTGAGGGAGGAAGAGGAGCAGAAGGGGAAGACCATCAGCAGAGAGATGAAGACGATTGAGGAGCAGATCTCCTCTCTGTCAGACAGCATCTCTGCTGTTGAAGAAGACCTGCAGAAAGACAAGGTGTCGTTCCTCAGCAGTTATAAAGCCACTCAGACCAGAGCCAGAGTCCAGAGCTCAGTGACAGATCCACAGCTGGTCTCAGGAGCGCTGATAGATGTGGCCAAACACCTGGGCAACCTGTCCTTCAGAGTCTGGGAGAAGATGAAGGACCAGGTCCACTTCAGTCCTGTCATTCTGGACCCAAACACTGCAGCCTACACCCTCTCTCTGTCTGATGATCTGACCAGTGTGAGATGTGGAGACACAAACCAGCAGCTTCCTGATAATCCAGAGAGATTCACTGAGTTTACAGAAGTTCTGGGCTCTGAGGGCTTCAGCTCAGGGAAACACAGCTGGGAGGTGGAGGTGGGAGACCATCCTCACTGGCTTGTAGGTTTGGTTAAAGAGTCAGTTGACAGGAAGGGAGAGACAGGTGCTTCACCAGCTGATGGATGCTGGTGTTTACTTCATGACAGTGGAAAATACACTAATGGAGCTGGTCAGACTGTCAGAGTGAAGAAGAGTCTCCAGAGGATCAGAGTCCAGCTGGACTATGACAGGGGGGACGTGTCCTTCTACAACCCTGAAGACACGACTCACATCTGCACTCACAGAGACACTTTCACTGAGAAACTCTTCCCATGGTTTAATATTGGAGAGTCTGATGACGCTAAAAGTGCTGATATCAAAATCTGTCAAACTGATGTTTCTCTGTGATGTTCAGTGAAGTTGGTGAAGTCAAAGTGATTCATCTGGAAGTTTATTATAGTTACTTTGTTGTTGTTGTGTTCTTTAAATATTTAAAAATTAAATTAAAGAAAGAAACTAAAGCATAAATAAGCAGAACTATGTGTGTGAGGGATAATGTTCCAAATAGTGTTTTTGGTGTAAATATCCTTCGAGTACGAGTAGATTTACTGTGATTTTTTATTTTGAAATGTATAAATACTTTTTCTAAAGAGCAACAACGTTAAGTTTCCTTTAAAGGCTCTAGTTTATAATCACGTCACCACATAAAGCCTCTAAACTGTTCAGTTTCATGAATAAATGGTTCGATTCCTTCAGGTGTTTAATTTGCACATTAAAGTGTTTATTGACAACGATGCAGAATAATGTTTTATTTATTTCCTGAAGAAATGTTAAAGATTTCCAAATATACAATTAATGTAGAGGTATAATTTCATCATTTTTAGTCCAACAAGGTGGAGACAAAGTACACATTTTGGTTGCAGACTGTTTCCATCACAATCTGACCTCTGTTCAGTGTCTGGAAGAAAATGTCTGATCCTTCAGAACATTTCTATCCATCTCAGGGTTCAATCTAGGAGACAATCACACGTGAATCCACCTCTTGATTGATGCTTATTTGATTTATTTCCTATCTTACTATCTCTGAAATCAAATACACAAATCACTGGCCTGTTTTTGTTTAACTGTATAATCTTAAATTCAATTCAGATGTTGTATTTCCAGAGTTCTACTAAATAAAATACTTTATTCTCATTCATACCTTCTGTTCCATTCCTCATCCTGTGTTCCTCTCATTGTTTAATTCTGGGTTTGTGTTGGTTGATGAGATGTAGAAGTACGTACAAGAGGTGAAGGACACTGTGCACCAACACTGGTGAGCTGCAGCTACATATTAGTGTCTATTCCTGATTAAGAAAAGATCATCAGTCTTTAACTAGAAGGACTTTATTCCAGTTTCAGAGAACACGCGTCCTGATATCTGGACAAACACAATAAAATGATAACGAATAATTGTAATGAGGAATATCATGATGATCTGGTCTGTTGACATCAACGTTCTGTAGATATTGTAGAGCAGCAGTGAAGGAAGTATTCAGATCCTTTACTGCAGTAAAAGTACTCACACCCAACTGTGAAAAAGTCCTTCTAAACCTTACTTATGTAAAAGTATCATGTGTAAAATGTACTTCAAGAAAGATCCTCATTGTGCAGTAAAATGTTTCCTGTCTGTTATACATGAAGTTTCTGGATGAATATTTCTGCTTCATTGATGTGCAGCATTTTACTGTCATAGATGTTGACGATTGTGTTCATTTAAACTCTTTTTTATCTTGTTGGGTGGTTTAATTTTTAGCAATGCATCACTTTTTATACATTCATCATATATTCGCAGTGCTGCTGAAACTGAATGTTTCATCATTCAGTTCATCTTCCACGAGTGTTTTGCCATCGGACACATGGTTCACATTCCAAGAACACTTCCTTCCATCACGTCGAGTCGGACAGGACGAGGTACTCAGATCACATGACAACAGCAGCTCGCTGCAGACTCACAGATGAAGAAGATGTAGAGATCCTTGTTAAGTGAAACTATGTGTCCATGCTGTAAATATGCTAAAAGATTTGGAATAAGTGGATTTCATTGTTTTTTATCTACAGAATCAACATGAAATCGTTCATATTTACTGACCTCCAAACCACTTTTCCTTGACCTCTGTGGAAAACGTCACGGGGTCAAGGAAACATGGTTAGGAGAAGTCCTGAGGAGTTAGGAAAAGACAGCGCCGTGTTTAGGGAACCTGAGGCTGGATTTGAATGGTCAGATTGTTTCGGGCTGGTGTGTGTGACGTTGGTTCTCCAGAACCGACTGTTAGGATCCTTCACGGCGGATGACCAAACCTGGAGGCATTAGGACCACGAGGCCAAACGGCACCTTGAGTCCAACAGGTGTGTGTAGTCGTGTTACTGGTCGGAGCCTCTAGAGGGAGACGTCACGCTGCTTCCTCACGCTGAAGCTCTTCTCCACCTGGAAACCGTTGTCTTGTTACTGCTCAGCTTACAGGTTGAGCCCCAATGTGACCAGTAACAGTTTAAAACGCCTGAATGAGGGGAACTATAGAATAGTATTGTTCACCCACTTTACAGACGTGTCCCTTAACGTCTCTTCTGCTGCAGTGTGTCGAGAGGCTGGATGAGGTGATGAAACCTTTAAGCTGAAGCAAGTGAGGCCTCACCTCATAAATCCCACGTTTCAGTTCTTCCTCACCGGCTCGTTGCATTACGATCAAACTAACCAGGACGGAACAAATAGAACCGAGAGTCCACACAGAAGAGAAGAGAGAGGAGGAAACACACTGAGGTGCAGGATCTCGAGTCCTTGAATCTTGTATGGAGCCAAAATGAATTTCTCTCTTGCTGTTCCTCATCGTTCCTGGGCCACATAATTTATCTACAGGAACAAACGCACGGTCGGTTTTCTTCTCTGTTGACTGAGAACGTGACGACTGAAGCTGCGCGTGCTGCTCGGAGCTTTAACCTTTCCTGCGCAGCCGCGAAGCAGCTGGGATGAAGCCCACGTTTTTCATGGAGCCGAGGAGTCTGTGCTGCTGCTCATTCATCTCTCCCACGCAGCACACGTCGGTCACTGAGAGGCGGCGCAGTGCGCTCGTTCCTCGGCATTCCACTCGGCACGGGATCTACGGAGGATTACTGCGAGGGCGTGCAGGTACTCGAACTGCGCCGAGGAGCCGGACGTGTTCCCTTTTCGTAGCATCGCCGCCGACTTCTGCTGGTTAAAGTTTCTGGCTGAAAACGAAGGAGAAAGGAAAGCGAAATGGAGGCCGAGATGATGCACACGCAATGTCTACGAGCTATTCAAAGGTCGCACGCAGGCTGACGGAGGAGTTACGTCCAGATCACGTGAGATACGATCCTCGTGGTAACAGATTACGATGACCGGGTTTCAACTATATTCATTTCCTCATCTTCTCCCCTCCTGTTAGAGCGAAGGTTCAAAGGTCACAGACAGGTGTGACCTCTGATGGCTTTTCCACTCACATATTGTCATGCAAAGGTTTTTATGTTGGGACGTTCTGAACCTCAACATCTGTCATTTATCTATTACTTCTCATACGTCCCAGGTTCATGTCATTGTGAATTTCATAAAGACCTTTATACTATTTGTGAGAAAATTAAGCTTTTTATTTCTGACAGATAGATTTTTATGATTTGAGAGATAAACAATCAGTATATATGAGCAAGTTCTACTTTGTTAGTTTCAGCCCTAATAAAAGGAACAGTAGATGGACGTTTATATAGTGGTGTAGAATTCACACATATTTACACACTGAGGGACAAACGATGACACTTTGACATGTGGAACAACAAAATAAGTGTAAATCCTTTGCTTCATGGTTTTTCCTTCCCTGATCCTAATGTATTTTTTAGAGGGTGTTAAAGGTACTTTTAAAGTACTGCCTGCAGTTTAATACACCTCGTGCACTGTTGTAAACATTTGACCAGCAGCGTGTAAGATGAGTCCTGATATAAAGTAAATGACAAGCACCTATCAGCCAATCAGAACCCTGTGCTTTCTGGTGCTATGAAAGTGGAACAAACGGCAAAAACAATAATAATAATAATAATACCTTAATTTTAAATTAAGCTTTTTGTTTCCGAGAAACGATTGTCCTGATTTGAGACGTTATGTACACAAATCAGTATACTTACACAAGCTTTACTTTCTTACCTTCAGCTCTAATGAAGGATGAAGGAAATGAATGAAGGAAAACTTATATAATGTTTAACTTGGTGGATCACGATCGTATCGCAGAGGACGGACTTTCTCTGAGCTGGTGCAGCCTCTTCCTGCTTAGAATGTCTGTTGTCTAAGTCTATTTAATGCAACGCCAAACATATTTTCTATGTCTTCTTCAGGGTGTTTTTCTTGTTTAAAGTACTTTTACTAGCTTGCGCGCTGTAAACCTGTGACCAGCAGTGTGATGAGTCCTGATGTAGAATATTAAATATTAAAAGAACCTGTGCTTTCTGTTGCTTTATAATATATGCATTATTAAAAGTAACAATTCTCCTTCACTCCATTGGAAAGTTGTTGTAAAATCTGAGTATAAATCAAACATCACCACCTGTTGGTGACTAAAGAGCTTGTCAGCTGCTTACACAATAAAAGGAGGGAAAGTGAAACTTAAAGCTGATTTATTTCCTCGTTGCTGAACGGAGAACAGAGACGCATCACAGGGTGAGAAATCTCTACTAAACAAGATCGGAACCATCGAGATCTGTAATTCAGAGTCAGATTTGATCATTCAGAGCAAATGGCTGAAAAAATCGCTGTTGTTGAAAGTTACCTGAGCTGCCATGTTTGTTCAGAGACGTTCAGAGATCCCGTGTCTCTGAGCTGCGGCCACAGCTTCTGTTCAAGCTGCCTGCAGCAATTCTGGGAACAAGCTGGAAACAAGAACTGTCCCATCTGTAAAAGTAAGTCCTCAACGGATGAACCAGCAGTGAACTTAACACTGAAGGGACTCGCTGACTCCTTTGCTGACAGACAGAATAATGGATCAACTCAGACGGAACCAGAGAAGGAGAAAGAGGAGGTGGTGTGTGAAGAACATCCAGAAGTCCCTTATTGGTTCTGTGAGGACGAGCAGAAAGCTGTGTGTCCTGTCTGTGAGTTCTCTCTCCACCAGAGTCACAAAGTGGTTCCTCTAGAACAAGCAGTCAGGAACCTGAATGACCAGTTGAGATCTGACTTGAAGTCTCTGCAGGACAAGAGGAACAAACACCAGAAAGTGGAGAAAACATACAATCAAGTGATCCAACTCTCCAAGAAGCAGCTGGTGTCCACAGAGAGGAAGCTCAGAGCAGAGTTCAACAAGCTCCACCAGTTCCTGAGAGAGGAAGAGGAGTCCAGACTGGCAGCTCTGAGGGAGGAAGAGGAGCAGAAGGGGAAGACCATCAGCAGAGAAATGAAGATGATTGAGGAGCAGATCTCCTCTCTGTCAGACAGCATCTCTGCTGTTGAAGAAGACCTGCAGAAAGACAACGTGTCGTTCCTCAGCAGTTATAAAGCCACTCAGACCAGAGCCAGAGTCCAGAGCTCACTGACAGATCCACAGCTGGTCTCAGGAGCGCTGATAGATGTGGCCAAACACCTGGGCAACCTGTCCTTCAGAGTCTGGGAGAAGATGAAGGACCAGGTCCACTTCAGTCCTGTCATTCTGGACCCAAACACTGCAAACTACTTTCTCTCTCTGTCTGATGATCTGACCAGTGTGAGATGTGGAGACACAAACCAGCAGCTTCCTGATAATCCAGAGAGATTCACTAACTATGCCAATGTTCTGGGCTCTGAGGGCTTCAGCTCAGGGAAACACAGCTGGGAGGTGGAGGTGGGAGACCATCCTCACTGGCTGTTAGGTTTGGTTAAAGAGTCAGTTAACAGGAAGGGAAAGATGGATGCTTCACCAAAACATGGAATCTGGTGTTTAGTTCATAACAGTGGAGAATACACTAATGGAGTTGGTCGGCCTCTCCGAGTGAAGAAGAGTCTCCAGAGGATCAGAGTCCAGCTGGACTATGACAGGGGGGACGTGTCCTTCTACGACCCTGAAGACACGACTCCCATCTGCACTCACAGAGACACTTTCACTGAGAAACTCTTCCCATGTTTTAGTGTTGGAAAGTCTGGTGACGCTAAAACTGCTGATATCAAAATCTGTCAAACTGATGTTTCTCTGTGATGTTCAGTGAAGGTGGTGAAGTCAAAGTGATTCATCTGGAAGTTTATTATAGTTACTTTGTTGTTGTTGTGTTTGTTAAATATTTTCAAATTAAAGAAAGAAACTAAAGCATAAATAAGCAGAACTATGTGTGTGAGGGATAATGTTCCAAATAGTGTTTTTGGTGTAAATATCCTTCAAGTACGAGTAGATTTACTGTGATTTTTTAGTTTTAAATGTATAAATACTTTTTTCTAAAGAGCAATAACGTTAAGTTTCCTTTAAAGGCTTTAGTTTATAATCACGTCACCACATAGAGCCTCTAAACTGTTCAGTTTCATGAATAAATGGTTCGATTCGATGAAAGTGAATCCACCTCTTGATTGATGCTTATTTGATTTATTTCTTATCTTACTATCTCTGAAATCAAATACACAAATCACTGGCCTGTTTTTGTTTAACTGTATAATCTTAAATTCAATTCAGATGTTGTATTTCCAGAGTTCTACCAAATAAAATACTTTATTCTCATTCACACCTTTCTGTTCCATTCCTCATCCTGTGTTCCTCTCATTGTTTAATTCTGGGTTTGTGTTGGTTGATGAGATGTAGAAGTACGTACAAGAGGTGAAGGACACTGAGCACCAACACTGGTGAGCTGCAGCTACATATTAGTGTCTATTCCTGATTAAGAAAAGATCATCAGTCTTTAACTAGAAGGACTTTATTCCAGTTTCAGAGAACACGCGTCCTGATATCTGGACAAACACAATAAAATGATAATGAATAATTGTAATGAGGAATATCATGATGATCTGGTCTGTTGACATCAACGTTCTGTAGATATTGTAGAGCAGCAGTGAAGGAAGTATTCAGATCCTTTACTGCAGTAAAAGTACTCACACCCAACTGTGAAAAAGTCCTTCTAAACTTTACTTATGTAAAAGTATCATGTGTAAAATGTACTTCAAGAAAGATCCTCATTGTGCAGTAAAATGTTTCCTGTCTGTTATACATGAAGTTTCTGGATGAATATTTCTGCTTCATTGATGTGCAGCATTTTACTGTCATAGATGTTGACGCTTGTGTTCATTTAAACTGCTTTATATCCTGTTGGGTGGTTTAATTTTTAGGAGTGCATTACGGTCATCATATGTTTGTAGCGCTGCTGTTGGAACCAGGTATCTAAAAATTCTTTTTTTTCAATATTGACCATGACAAATCGTTAAAGTTAAAAGGATTCCAAATTATACAGAATTGGGAAATATGATTGTTTGTAAAAGTTAAAGGCCTTTTGTAAATAGTCGTTTTTATCGCAGAACTACTTTTCTTCATAAAAATGTAGGTCAAGATATCGTAAAAAAGGAAGTTTCAAGTGAGAAATCTAAATATTGTGGATAAAAAGTGGAAAAACAAAGGTGGATAGTTGATAGTCAACTTTTTACCTTTGAACATAAAGTAACATCAAATATTGGAGTCTTTAACCTAAGAGACAGAGAGTTGTGTAGAATAAATGCTCTGACTTTGAGTGCACTATTAAAGCATTGAGCATTATTAAAAGTAACAATTCTCCTTCACTCCATTGGAAAGTTGTTGTAAAAATCTGCGTATAAATCAAACATCACCACCTGTTGGTGACTAAAGAGCTTGTCAGCTGCTTACACAATAAAAGGAGGGAAAGTGAAACTTAAAGCTGATTTATTTCCTCGTTGCTGAACGGAGAACAGAGACGCATCACAGGGTGAGAAATCTCTACTAAACAAGATCACAACCATCGAGATCTGTAATTCAGAGTCAGATTTGATCATTCAGAGCAAATGGCTGAAAAAATCGCTGTTGTTGAAAGTTTCCTGAGCTGCCATGTTTGTTCAGAGACGTTCAGAGATCCCGTGTCTCTGAGCTGCAGCCACAGCTTCTGTTCAAGCTGCCTGCAGCAATTCTGGGAACAAGCTGGAAACAAGAACTGTCCCATCTGTAAAAGTAAGTCCTCAACGGATGAACCAGCAGTGAACTTAACACTGAAGAGACTCGCTGACTCCTTTGCTGACAGACAGAATAATGGATCAACTCAGACGGCACCAGAGAAGGAGAAAGAGGAGGTGGTGTGTGAAGAACATCCAGAAGTCCCTTATTGGTTCTGTGAGGACGAGCAGAAAGCTGTGTGTCCTGTCTGTGAGTTCTCTCTCCACCAGAGTCACAAGGTGGTTCCTCTAGAACAAGCAGTCAGGAACCTGAAGGACCAGCTGAGATCTGACTTGAAGTCTCTGCAGGACAAGAAGGACAAACACCAACAAGTGGAGAAAACATACAATGAAGTGATCCAATTCTCCAAGGAGCAGCTGGTGTCCACAGAGAGGAAGATCAGAGCAGAGTTCAACAAGCTCCACCAGTTCCTGAGAGAGGAAGAGGAGTCCAGACTGGCAGCTCTGAGGGAGGAAGAGGAGCAGAGGGGGAAGACCATCAGCAGAGAGATGAAGATGATTGAGGAGCAGATCTCCTCTCTGTCAGACAGCATCTCTGCTGTTGAAGAAGACCTGCAGAAAGACAAGGTGTCGTTCCTCAGCAGTTATAAAGCCACTCAGACCAGAGCCAGAGTCCAGAGCTCACTGACAGATCCACAGCTGGTCTCAGGAGCGCTGATAGATGTGGCCAAACACCTGGGCAACCTGTCCTTCAGAGTCTGGGAGAAGATGAAGGACCAGGTCCACTTCAGTCCTGTCATTTTGGACCCAAACACTGCAGCCAAGAGTCTCTATCTGTCTGATGATCTGACCAGTGTGAGATATGGAGACACAAACCAGCAGCTTCCTGAGAATCCAGAGAGATTCACTAAGTATGCAGATGTTCTGGGCTCTGAGGGCTTCAGCTCAGGGAAACACAGCTGGGAGGTGGAGGTGGGAGACCATCCTTACTGGCTTGTAGGTTTGGTTAAAGAGTCAGTTAACAGGAGGGGAGAGATATTTGATTCACCATTATATGGATTCTGGTGTTTAGTTCATCGCAGTGGAGAATACTCTGACGGAGCTGGTCAGACTCTCCGAGTGAGGAAGAGTCTCCAGAGGATCAGAGTCCAGCTGGACTATGACAGGGGGGACGTGTCCTTCTACGACCCTGAAGACACGACTCCCATCTGCACTCACAGAGACACTTTCACTGAGAAACTCTTCCCATATTTCAATATTGGAAAGTCTTGTGATGCTAAAACTGCTGATATCAAAATCTGCCCAACTAAAGAAGCTCTAGCGTAGGTTCAGACAGGAAGACCCTCCCCTCACGTTAGGCTTGTCTGCCTGTCACTCGTCATAGACTCTATCGGCTGTTTGTCAGGGTCTGGATTCATACATGGCTGCCGGTCAGGGCAAACACAGAACTCAAACCCCCTCGTTGAGTTCACCGCCAAATACATTCTGTTCTATTCTATTCATGAATGCATCATCCGGCATAATAAATGTGGACAACTAATCATTCACTTGTCTCCCCTGATGAAATAGTTCTCTGTGATATTAAGTAAGAGGAGGTCAGAGTTATTCATCAGCATGTTTATTATAGTCTTTTTGTTGTTGTGTTCTTTAAATATAAGCAGATTTGTGAGGTAAAATGTTCTAAATAGTGTTTTAAAGTACAGATGAGTAGTTTTACTGTGATCATTTTATTTTGAAATGTATAAATTTTTTTTTCCAAAGAGAAATAACTGCATTAAAAGGATTTAGTTTTAAATCACGTCACCACACAAAGCCTCAACATGTACAATTAAGGTAGAGAAATCCTTTCATTATTTTTAGTTCAACAAGGTGGAGACAAAGAACACATTTTGGTTGCAGACTGTTTATCACAATCTGACCTTTGTTCAGCGTCTGGTAGAAAATGTCTGTATTTCTGATCCTTCAGAACATTTCTATCCATCTCAGGGTTCAATCTAGGAGACAATCACAAATGAATCCACCTCTTGATGAGATGCTTCATTTATTTATCGATTGCTGGATTCAGATACACAAATCACTGGCCTGTTTTTGGTGTGACTGAAGCTTGATGTTTTGTTTTCAGTATTCTCATCTACAGCGTTCTGTTCCATTCTTCATCCTGTGTTCCTCTCATTGTTTAATTCTGGGTTTGTGTTGGTTGATGAGATGTAGAAGTACAAACAAGATGTGGGGGACACTTTGCACCAACACTGGTGAGCTGCACATGGTCAACAACGTGCAGGATTAACAATGTCAAGTTTGTCATCCAAATAAAGGAATTGCAAATTAGGACCATATTTTTTGGGGTAATCTGAATCTGTATAAATATTTTCTGATTGCGGTAGTTTCCAATTTCTTTACAAGATAATGATGAAACCAGGAAACAAAATCATACCACGCTGGTAAAAGGCTAAACAGCATGTACGCGTAGAATAAAACACAGCATATTGAATAAGAATTATGCAACTATCATTTCAATGAAGTCGCATTGATTCTCACAATGGTCTGTATCTCATGGCTGTTTTTTAAATTAGAAACTGTAGGGCAAATTAAGTACATTTTGAATGCAAGACTTCCTAAGTACTTTCACATCGGGTTATTGTTCCACAACTGTCCGGTTTCCCTGATGCAGTTCCACCAGTCCCCCCGGTGGGATCCGGGCCCCTGGAGACCGCCCCAAAAACCGGAACAAAGAGCAGGCTGCCGTGCGTCCCTCCCATTCGGCGGTGCCCCACAGTCATGCCCTGCCGGTCAGGTGGTTTATGGTTAAAAGTGTAGGGCTGCAGGGGGAAAACAGGATGGAGCGGGTGGTGGTGAACGGACTGCAGCCCTCAGGTTCTCCAGCACAGCGCTCGGATTCCCACGCGGGGCTCGTGTGTTTGTTTGTTTGTGGGTGTGTGTAATTGTGTGTGTGAGATGATCTGTTACAGAAACCTTGATTAACTATTTTGTATTCTTTCACAACTTTACACTTCCATCTACAACACTCATACAACACCTTCTGGTTCCTTCACCCGTTTCTAACTTCACTCCTCTCACATTAAAATACGTTTATAATTGTATCAGCTGTTCAAAGCTAGCAGGTCCTGCGTCCGGGACTCCTTGGATTGGTGTAGAATGTGTCCTATCTTGTAGTTCATCAGTGGTTATGCACTTTAGAATCATTTAAAACTAGATAAGAATTAAATATGCCCCATAAGGCCCAGGGAGCACAGAGGGGGGTCATTAAACAGCTCTATCGTCTCCCTCGTTGTCTGCTGCTTCTGCGTTTTCTACCTGTGAAGCTCATGATTATTCCTCTTATTTCTAGAGACAATAGATCATCAATATCCCATGATATGTTTTATTGTTAAGACGATTACGGGATGAAAGTCTTTAAGAAAGTTTCCCATCCTTTCCTGTACGGACGCCACCAGTGTTTCCCTCTGACATGTTCTCGTTCTTTCCATCATACCGGGTCCCTCCTCTTTCCCCATCGGACCCCAACCTTATATTCCTTTGTCTAACTAGACCAGGTCCACAGTTAAAAATTGCCCGTTCTGATTATGTTTAAAAAAGGTTTAACATCGCGGCCAATTTGCGACCTTATGGCAAAACCAGCGAACAGATTAACACATTTAATTGGAAATTAAGTCGGTTAGACTGCTGCATTTATGGAGGCGTTACGTCTTTTTCAGATGTGTGATGGCTGATAACTTTTATCAAATTAAAATCAATGCACCTTCTCATATACGCTCATGGAGCAACATGTAGGTGGACATAATTTACCGTTTCTTCATCTCCACATTGGGGTTTGTGAGTCAAATGTAAATGTTAAAAATAATAAATATATGTGTAAAAAGCTGCTGGTATGTAAATCAGCTGTAATGATTGCTTCTTCAAGCATCATCATGACCTCATCATAACCAAAAAGAAATACTGAAATTAGAGTAGAAATTATGATTTAACACAAGTCCCATAAAACCTACACAGCTTAACAGATACAGTGTTTAGTTTGAATATTTACAGAGCCTTTGAGAATGTGAATAAAGTCATAAGGATTCCAAAATACGACAAAACTTTGCTCCCAGAAAGACTGTACGGCCTTCAGATTCTGATATCACAAGGTACATGTACAAAGTCCGAAAGATAAAAGAGTTTTGCACTATCTGACTTTATTCATTGAGTGTTTCCAAATGTTTCTCTTCACTGTGACCGATGGTTTTCATTCATTTTAACACATGAAACATCAGTTACTACATTTTGTCCTGATGACTATCTTCAACCGCCTGTCCCTGTTTAGGATTGTTTCTCACACTGGTGAGATCATCACACAGAGAAGAACACCGAGGTCCAAAGTCTTGTTCCAGTTTATGAGGGAGGGACTGCAGAGTGTCATCATCTGCTGATCTTCCATACAGAGAGCAGCATTTACTATCATGAATGATTAACCAGTGAAGGAGGTTGGTGAACTTGAAGTCAGATTCTGACATTTTTGAAAGGAGACACGTCAACGTTACACCTTGGAATAATGTTCCACCTGGACTGAGAAAAGACAAATTAATGCAAATCTAATTTGGTGAGTTTTTGTTTTTTTTAAAACTATTTGAAAAAGTCAGAAAATGGCTGAAAAGATCGTTCTTTTGGAAAGTTACCTGAGCTGCCATGTTTGTTCAGAGACGTTCAGAGATCCCGTGTCTCTGAGCTGCAACCACAGCTTCTGTTCAAGCTGCCTGCAGCGATTCTGGAAACAAGCTGGAAACAAGAACTGTCCCATCTGTAAAAGAAAATCCTCTAAAGACGATCTTGGGGTGAATTTTCCACTAAAGAAACTGGCTGACTCGTTTGCTGAGAGACAGAAAACTGGATCAACTGAGATGGACAAAGGAGAGAAGAAGGCGGAGGTGGTGTGTGAAGAACATGGAGAAGAGTTGTCTCTCCACCAGGGTCACAAGATGGTTCCTCTAGAACAAGCAGTCAGGGACCTCAAGGACCAGCTGAGATCTGACTTGGAGTCTCTGCAGGACAAGAGGAACAAACACCAACAAGTGGAGAAAACATACAATGAAGTGATCCAACTCTCCAAGGAGCAGCTGGTGTCCACAGAGAGGAAGATCAGAGCAGAGTTCAACAAGCTCCACCAGTTCCTGAGAGAGGAAGAGGAGTCCAGACTGGCAGCTCTGAGGGAGGAAGAGGAGCAGAAGGGGAAGACCGTCAGCAGAGAGATGAAGATGATTGAGGAGCAGATCTCCTCTCTGTCAGACAGCATCTCTGCTGTTGAAGAAGACCTGCAGAAAGACAACGTGTCGTTCCTCAGCAGTTATAAAGCCACTCAGACCAGAGCCAGAGTCCAGAGCTCACTGACAGATCCACAGCTGGTCTCAGGAGCGCTGATAGATGTGGCCAAACACCTGGGCAACCTGTCCTTCAGAGTCTGGGAGAAGATGAAGGACCAGGTCCACTTCAGTCCTGTCATTCTGGACCCAAACACTGCAAACTACAGCCTCTATCTGTCTGATGATCTGACCAGTGTGAGACGTGGAGACACAAAGCAGCAGCTACCTGATAATCCAGAGAGATTCACTGAGTTTGTCAATGTTCTGGGCTCTGAGGGCTTCAGCTCAGGGAAACACAGCTGGGAGGTGGAGGTGGGAGACCTTCCTCACTGGTTTGTAGGTTTGGTTAAAGAGTCAGTCAACAGAAAGGGAGAGATATTTATTTCACCAGATGATGGAGTTTGGTCTTTAGTTCATCGCAGTGGAAAATACACTGATGGAGTTGGTCAGACTGTCAGAGTGAAGAAGAGTCTCCAGAGGATCAAGGTCCAGCTGGACTACGACAGGGGGGAGGTGTCCTTCTACGACCCTGAAGACACGACTCACATCTACACTTATAGAGACACTTTCACTGAGAAACTCTTCCCATGGTTTTATATTGGAAATTCTTGTGATGCTAAAACTGCTGATATCAAAATCTGTCAAACTGAATTATTCTGTGTATAATAGTTCCTGTATGCATAAATGCATGTGAGTGATTACGCTTGTGATCAAATGAAAAGAAATGAAAGGAGTCAAATTGAATTTCATATTTTTTTCTTAATCTGATTGTTTATAAATATTTATGAGGTTGTATCATTTCTTTACATGACAATGATTAAACCAGGAACCAAAGCATATCACTGTGATAAAAGGCTAATTGGCCTACGAGCATAAAGCATGGTATATTGAATAAGAGTTATGCAAGTTTGATTTTCCAAGGGTTGCCTTGACTCTCATGTCTGTATCTCAAATATGTGTTTTTTTAATCAAAAAACTGAGGAATCCCAAAGGACAAACTTAATTAAAAGCAAGTACGTTCTGAATGCAATACTTTCACTTGCTAAGTACTTTAATATCGTGTAATTGTTATTTTTGTTTAAATAAAGATGCTTTTCTCCTGCTACTGTTTCCATTCATATCGCTTCAATTGATGTATTTCCAGATGTTTCTCATTTTGTCACCGTGTCGCAGAAAGAGAGATTCAGCTCTTATTCTGAAAACGAAAAGGCGCCTAAGCGGAAGTCTTCTGTCAGCGGCGGAGTTCAGCGCCGTGAGGTAAACAAACGGCGGATACTTCCTGTCACATTCACCCAGAGGCTCCTCGTGTTCGTGCTTCTTTTAATAAGATTACTGTATTTTGTGCACACAAACTCTCCTTTTCCGCGCGTTCATTTTGGAGTCTCTGTCAGTTCTACAAAATTTCCACAACTCATCGTGCTAACAGCTAACGTTAGCGAAGTAAGCTAGCTGCTAAAGAAGAAACGGGGGCGACGTGCTCATATCTGCAGATATTTAGAAATGTAACGTTATCTGACCACCTTCTACTGTAAGTATGCCTGTCGAGTATTTTATGACCAATAAACCTCCTTTCTTAAATTGTCCTGAAAATGACGTGTTTGGGTGACGTAGCGTCAGCTCAACGGCATCGTTACGTTCAGTGCTGTAGTGGTAAAATTAGAGGTGGGTAAACGCTGAATTTTGTGATCACACAGACCTCGATGCGATGCGAAGCAACGCAACACAAAGCGTCGCGACTCCTGGCTATATTGCATTTAGTTATCAGTAAAGTTCATACACAATCAATGACAATGAATAAATGTTTTAGTAGTTTGTAGTTCATTAAATCTATGAAAACAGTGAAGAAAAGTATGTCAACACAACACAATTGCAGATTAAGAACTATCTACATACGGAGTCTCCTTCGTGATGACATTTCCAGAGGGCCTCCTTGTCCTCCACGTCAGGTCCTGCCTTGCACAGAGGAGCCATGAACCCCAGAACACGCGTTCTGGGGTTCATGGCTCCTCTGTGTTTCTCCTCTCTCTATTGGACCTGGTGTTTCTCCTCTCCCTGTGCTCTCTGCATCATTGCCTGTCCTCTCACTGCCTGAAAAAATATGTTTAATTTAAGAGTTAACCAGTTAAGCAGCCTGTCAATTACACTGACAACATAAGTTAAAGGAACACTCATGTACTACCTATGTCATCATAAATAGCCTACACAGCATGTTTTTTTTCACATTGAGAACTGACTTGTTTTCTAATCTACGCGTCACCAGGCGTTTTTCTTGTCCTTTTACCGTGCACGACCAGCGAACACAGCGCGCAGGATCTTCTCGACCGGTCCGCGAAATATTGTCTGACATGAAACCGGTCCGTGAGGTAAGAAAGGTTGGGGACCACTGGGCTGATCCACAGCGTGTGTTTACACACCTCCTGGATCCTGATTGGTGTCGCTGCTGCAGCCGCAAGGCACTGATTGGATGCTCACAGACCGTAATACAGCGCAGATGGACATGATTCAGACTACGGCGTTTATATGTTCAACAATAGGAAACGTAGTCTTAGCTGTTTTAAAATTACACAAAGTTTATTTCAGATTAGTCCAACGGAAAAATACAAGGCGCAGGGAACTTTGAGGTGCGTAAACGCTATTTATAGGTGCGTAAACGCTATTTCCAAAATTCCAGAGGTGCGTAAATAGCGCTTACGTGCGTTTACCCTCCACTACAGCCCTGGTTACGTTCACTAAAACTATAAAGTAATTTCATTTAACGTCAATAAACGCTAATCTACGTCACTGAGCCCATTGTTCAACGCCTGTTTAAGCACGGATAGAACATGCTAACATTTTGTTCTCATTGCATCAAAAATAATAAGGTGCACATCTTGAAAAGTCACACACAGTTATTCACTCACACTTATTTTGAACCATTAAAATAATCATGTAAAACCATGACTCCCTGATGATGTTATTTTACTCTTCTAGATCCTTTCCTTCAAGGAAATAAAAGACTCCAAGCAGCAGACTCTCGAAGGTTATGGAGTATAATGGATAACCGTGCGCCCTGTCAGTCGTGGGGGGCTCAGAATGGCTGGTCCGCTACCTCGACCCCTCCAGGACCCCTGCTCAACCCGCTCCCCAGCTCTCAGCATCTCGGCCCGGGCTCGTCTCCGGACCCGACGCCCTCCTACGACCACCGGCACGAGTCCCACCAGAGCTGCATGAGCGACGCTCGCCACTCGGCGCTGTACAAGGCGTCTCTCCTCGGCGGCGACCCTCCACCGGACGCGCTGTTTGCCGACGCTGCGGCCCCCGGCTCCTCTCACGCCATGTCCTTCCCCCCGCGGCCCTCTCACGCGCCACCGACGCTGCTGCCGGCCAGCCGGGGGAAAACCACCCCCCCGCCTTCTCTTCTCCACACGAGCCGAGCTCCACAGCCCTGTGGGCCCCCGCTTCTGCCGATGTTCTCCCCCCACAGCCCTTACAAAGCCCCATTTCAACCTGCGTTATCCAATCGGACTTTACCAAACGGACTCCTGCCCGTTGGCCTGCCGTCGTGTGGACAACATGTAAGTACGTCTCCGGCTGCTTTTGATGGAATGCGTGGGGAGTTTTCTGGAAACACTCACCGCCGTGCCTCACCCACCCCTCAGCAGCAGAGTCAGTGGACGCCTTCATCCCACCGCAGGGGTAAGCTTCATAGATGCACGTATTCGTCCACCAGTGAGGGATTGATTTGTTTATTGTTTCTTACCCTGGATGTGTGAGTCTGATATTTCCATCTGGATTAGTCCGAGCCAACATGAGCAAACACGTTATTTCAGTTAAATGTTTGATGATCTGGAGAGAAAGTAGTTGTGTGTAAAGAAATTCTTCAAATTGTAGATCTTGGAATTGTAACTCCTGTTAGTTCTGATGATTCATTTCCCCAGTTGATTGTAGGATAAAGGTAATTTGTATTAGTCACTGGTGTGAAGACGTGGTGCAGTTCAGATCGCTTTGCTGTGAGATGTTGCCTCCAACTCTCTCGTATATCATCTTAACTGTTTGATTCCTCAGCGGCTGGAGAGGAATCTGTCTCTGTCACGGCGCCTCATCCTGAAAACCAGCTGTCGCAGGACGGGAAGATCAGTGCAGCGGTGAGGAAATAAACAACACCAACACTTAAATTACAGTTTGCTAGTTCGGAGGGATATTTTGTACACAAATAAAACTACCTTGTTGTAATTGTCTTCCTTGTTTGATGACATCCCACAGTTTGCTCCCACAGAGGATGATAGTACACGTTATAAGTCTCTTTTGCTTTTCACTTCCATCTCTTTACAGACCAACAACGAGAGACAACGTCAAGTGCTTTTACATCAGCGTGCACAACTGCTTCAACAAGTGGCCGAGCTGGATAAACTTGTAGGTGTGCTATGGAATGTTTTATTTTTATTGGAGGAGTTCAATTCTATTTAAGATTGTTGCTGCCCAGTACAACGTAAAAACTATACATCTTTTTTTTTGTATACATTGCTCACATCTTTGTTGTAGAAGGTATAATTAATACTGTACTTCTACACACAATCAGGACATTGACTTTACTTTCTCTTGCTGCTAAGCTGGAATCAATACGGCCAGAGGAGAGCCGTGAGGACAAGTCTCCACACGGAGCTCCTCAGGTAGGTCACCGTCTACGGTTCGATTTGATCCAATCCAACGTAAAAGGTATGAATGCGTATCGTTTTTTTTGTGTTTTCTCCTTCACCCTTAGTCTCCTCCATCGATGGATGATGATTCATCTCAATGTGAACAATCTGAGCCCAGTGATGCACGGCAGCTTCCGCTGTCTGCAGGAAACCCAAAGGTACCAATGCGTGAGAGCGTGTGGGAGGAAGAGTTATCTCTCTGTTAAGTCCTCTTAAGTCTATTTATTTTGGTTAAACCATGTACTATTGATGTTATGCTATTTGTTAAATTACATTCCAGCGTTGGCTGCTTCTCACTTGTGTGCAAAACATTTCAAAAATAAATATTACGTCCCAAAATAAAAATGTCAAATCAAGAAGGTGGACGCATTTTATATCGAGCAAAATATTCTACTTCAATCTGACTTTGTTGATTTTTAGCCTTTTAAAAATAACGTTTCCCCGATGAGTTTCTGTAAAGAAACGTCGAGACTCGATCTTAATACACTTTATTCACAATAAGGATCAAGCCGATTTTTAGGGTCACTTCTAAGATTCATTCATAAACCTCAATAGAAGCTTTAAATGTCAGAAAAAAATACTTTAGAAGCTCAACCTCGTCACTTTTAGAATTGTAGAATTTCTTTTTTACTTTAGTTTTGTGTTTTTCAGTCACAACTTTCCTCCGGTTGTTCATCTGCCGCCTCCTGTGACGAACAAAGCGCTGCCTCCGACACACCAAGCGGTCCGATGTCAGCAGGAGAATCCGAGGTACTATTGTGTGTGTCGTCGACAGCTCGACCCTGTGGAAATAACACATGTTAGTTCATGTGATGTCAGCTATTACAGTGGAGTGAGCTGTAAGTGATATGAGGTGAAAACAGTAGAAAGTCATTTAATGCACTCAATATTTGGCCTTGTAGCTCTGTTAGGAGTTAGGAAGGCAGCAGGAAGTGGTAACAGGTTCAAGAAGAGCGTTTATGGAATACTGATCATTTCCACATTAAATAAGTAAAGCTCAAACCTTTTCATTGTTGTTGAACTCCTCTGTACCTGATACACAATTTACACAAACATGACATCATTAATTGAGTTTGGGGGAAGCCCGACGATGATAAATGGATATTTATCAAATGTTTTCTCCTTCAAATTGTCTCTGATAAGTTGGTGTTTATACATTGGTGTCTTTAATTAGAAATATAATATTACAAATGATTTTAACATACAGATGTTTTTCTCTTATTGTTCTAGAAAGAAGAAAGCGAGTCGGCCGATGACAGCGACTTCTCTGACTTCCTGTCTGACTCTGACTGGGGCTCCTCGGCAGAATCCAGCCCCGGCACTCCCTCGGCCCCCCCGGGAGAGGAGCCTCCTCCGCCAGATCAGAAAGGAGGAGAATCGGCAAGTTCTTTGGCTCGAGAAGAAAGCGTCACTCCCCCAAAAAAGATCCGGCCCACCAATCCCAGGAATTCTTTCGAAACCGTCGTGCTGCCGAGTTCAAATTCTAAAACGGTTCGCGTCTACGACCGGAGGAACTACTGCTTGTTCTGCAACAATCCGTTATCCAAAATGTCCCGACATTTTGAGCGGATCCACGGCGACAAACCGGAGGTCGCAGCTGCCTTTCAGTACCCCAAGAAATCCAGAGAGAGGCATAAAATCTGGAACCGACTAATAAATCAGGGAAACTTTGCTCATAACAAGGAGGTCTTGAAAACGGGGCGGGGCCAACTGGTTTCCCGAAAAAGGCCGAGCACAACTCAGAGGGCCCAAGACTTTCTTCACTGCCTGTACTGCCGAGGCCTTTTCATCAAGAAAGCGCTGCACAGGCACATGAAATCGTGCCCGGAGAAAGCGGCCCACGGCGGCGACGAGCCGGAGCTCGGCAGGCGGCGCCTGGCTTTGCGCTGCGTGCTGGAGACCTTGGAGGACCTCGGGATCAGCGACGGCTTCAAGAACATCATGTCCCCGATGGTGTTCGACGACGTGACCCAGGCCATCATGGCGGACGAGATCATCTTGCAGTACGGCGAGGAGCTCTTCAGCCAGCAGGGATCCGATCCCAAGAAGCACCACTACATAAGGCAGAACCTCCGTCAGGTCGCGAGGCTGGTGCAGGAAGCGCGGGAGACCACCCCCCTGAAGAAGCTGGAGGACTTCTTTCTGCCGTCGGCGTTCCCGCACGTGGTGTCGGCGGTGAACGCCCTGGCGGCCTACGACCCGGAGAAGAAGACGTACGGCCTCCCGTCGCTCGCCATCAAGCTCGGCTACAACCTCCAGAAGACCTGCGCCATCGTCGAGGGCAACGCCGTGAGGCGCGGCGACGCCGGCTCGGCCGAGGCCGCGCGCAGCTTCCTCGCCGTGTACCACGACAAGTGGAACGCGCTGGTTTCGGGGGGCGCGTTGACGTCGCTGAGGGAAACCAAGCTGACCAAGGAGAAGAAGGTGCCGTTCGCCCAAGACGTAAAGCGGCTGAATGCCCACATGGAGGAAGTTCACCTCGTCGCCGAGAAGAATCTCAGGGACGCGGCGACTGCGGAAAACTACGCCTCCCTGGCCAAGGTGACCCTCGCGCGCACGCTGCTCTTCAACCGGAGGAGCGTCGTGGAGGTGTCCTCGGTGGAGCTGTCGGCTTTCGCGTCCCGGAAGAAGTCCCGCGCGGTCGATGGCGTCACCTTCTCGGATCTGGAGAGGAGCATGAGCGAGTTCTTCACGAGGATCGACGTTCGAGGGAACACCGGGAAGATGGTCCCCGTTTTCCTGAAGCCATCCTTCGAGTCGGCCATGGAGCTCCTCGTCAACGTGCGCAAGAAGTGCGGCGTCCCCAGGCAGAATCCCTACGTCTTTGGCCGGCCGCAGACTCTGTCCGCCTACGGCGGGGCCGAGTGCATCCAGAGGTTCGTCAAGGACTGCGGAGCCGAGGACCCTAAAGTGCTGACGACCGCCAAGATCCGGAGGCACTACGGAGCGATGCTGCAGCTGATCAACCTGGACGCGGACGAGGCCGCCCAAATTCTGGGCCCCAATAATCGAGTCCAAAGCCTGCGAGAGGACAGCGGCCTGTGGCCGGAGGTGGAGATGGACTCTGATGGTAGGATCTCCGTTTCTTTTGTATATGTTCCCTATTAGTTAGTCAAGCAATGTAAGTGGTTTTATGAAAAAAAACATTGAATTATACAGTCCTGTAAAATGTGTGTGCGAAGACTTGAATCTCTTGAAACGTGCTTTAGATTTATTGAATTAAAGGTTTAGTCTGGTTTGCTGCGTCATATATGCGTCATTTATCATCGTCAGATCTTTGCCAACAAAAAGCCCAGGAAGCAACGACAGACGCCAACACGACTCCACTTCTAACGTCAGACAAAGAAGGTATTAACGTTGATGATAATTCAATCTCTTATTCAGTGACGTTGAACGTTAATCTTCCTTTTTTCGCCCCACGCAGGCTCCAAATACAGGGGCAAACATAAATGGGAGGAAGAAGAGGTTCTTGCTGTTGAAAGACACATGATGCGTTTAATCGAGGCTCACAAGGTCCCTCAGAAGACGGACTGCTTCCGGTGTCTCCAGGCCGAGCCAAAAGCACTGAAGATGCGCTCGTGGAAAGGTGTGAAGGACTACGTGAGAAACCGGATCACCGCGCTGAAAAGGCAAGGAAGAACTCCCACAGCCCCGACATGAAGCGCGAGCAGGCCGGCTCGAGTGGAAACGCAGAAGACTACTGGGCATTCTCTGCAGTTATAGAAGGGATATTTGGTCTTTTGTTTTTCCTACTAGCAGCTTCACCTCCCTCTGTTCCTCTGCTCGTCTTTCATTGGTTCTCCTTCTGCGTCTCTTGTCCTGTTGTATCAGGTATACTGCATTGTGTTTGACTTTCTACTACAGCTTTACCACCAATAAAGTACAGTTCGTCTGAACAAAGCACACGTTAACTCACATGCTGTTTCATTGATTTGTGCAATTGTGGCGGGACTACGGTTTTATTCTTTTATATGTATATGTAGGATGGGCATTCCGATATTTTTATAGGAGTCCCACATTTAAAATGATACAAAAATATAGAATACTAGTATAGAAGTAGCAGCAACACAATATACTTGTATAATACACATATTGCTACATTTTCCTCAATTCTATATTGCCATAATAACTATGTATGAATTAAATGAATAAGTAATCCCTGTATTTTGCTTTTACTTTGAAAGGATGACCGGAAATGCGTTGTCGCGTGTCTTGTAACTTGACGCCATTTATGCAAAAACTCAGGTACGTAAAACCATCAACTTAAACGCATCATTCCACCATTTACACACCCGGGCAACTGGTTCTAGTCGAGTGGTTTAAGTTCAATACGGTTTAATTTAATTTAATTTAAATCTTGAGTAAACTGACTTTGCGTCTCGCTTCCGCCGCAGAGCGGCGATGGAGACGAGGACACGCGAAGCCCCCCCCGCGTCTCCTGACGTCCAAGGTCTCCTCTCCTCTTTTATTACGTGAGATAATACAACGTTAGTTTCCTTCGGGTGAGCTGTTTTATATTTATAGCTCATTCCTCCAAGTGAGCAGCTCCGTGTTTTAGCTAACAGGGTTCACGTTAGCTTAACGCTCATGTTCGCTGGTGAATAAGATTCCGCGTTCATCGGTGGGGACAATTTGCTTTAATGAGCATGTGTTTGGATTATGAGCGAGTAACCTTCTTGGTGGCAACATTTATTAACTCATTAAGACTCGTTGTGCCTCTGAGAAGAAAAATGAGAATCTCATCACGGCCCCGATGGAGCCATTAGGAAGAAGACAGACGAGTAACGTTATATTTTATCTTGTTGTTACCCGATAGACCCCGCCTCTCAGCTGAAACCGACCAATCAGTGATGGTTATGGAGGATGATGGACGACCCCTCAGCCAATCAGAGCCGGACACCCTGCCAGCCGTGGGCGGGCCAGAACGGCTGGTCCCCAGCGTCCCCTCCAGGTCCCCCCTGCGACCCTCTGCCCGGCCTTCAGCGTCTCAGCCTGAGCTCGCCCTCTGACCTGAGACCCGACCGCGACCGGCTGCAGGGCTCCACCCACGGCTGCCGGGGCGACCGCTCCGCCTCTCCACCCGGAGGCCGCGCTCATCTCGGCGCCCTGGACCCTCGCAACGCCGAGCACAGTGTCCGTGCCCCGTCAATGGCTCCGGCCGCGGGCCGGGGAAGACGTATCCCCCCGTGTTCCCTCCCTCTCGTGGAGGAAGGCTCGCATCCCCGCAGGGTGCCACAGATGCCATTTTACTCCCCTCACAGTCCCTATCGAGGGATGTCTCCCCCTTTCCAGCCCCCGTACTCACCCGATGGGCCGATGCCCTCGCATCAAAACCACCTGCCCGCTGGCTCGCCGTCACCGGGCGCGAACAGTCCTCTGTGCACACCTCGGCCCGTCTTTGAGAGGGCGAATGCGGAGTCCGCGGCCGCCTCCCAGCAGCCTCACTGGACGCTCGCTGCACCCTCAAGGGGTACGTTTATCTGTGCAAAGCGCTCCTCCCTCTGGAGCCGATCGTTTACATCTGTCGCAGTCTGAACAAATACTGTCGCGAGTGACACTCCAGCCTGACAACTCTGTCTTCTCCTCAGGAACCATCAACCAGTTTGTTCCCGATGCAGCTGCACCGCACCGGAACGTCACGCCTCAGGTGGGAGAAAACACATGAAATACTTCACTTTATCGCCGGCTCGAAGGATAATTTGCTTAACTGATAAATCTGCAGGTTTTGGCTGATAAATATGTAGCGAGTGTTGCATGTTGACATCCTTGTGCTCAAATCCAAAAGTTCCTGCAAGCTGCGTACAATGAAAACCTCAACAACAACAGGAAGTGGCCGCAGAAGGAGAAACATAATATGATAAAGTGCAGGACAATGTGCTCACGTGACGGAGAACCAACATGATATTGGTTCTCCGTACAGTCAGAGGATCTTTTTCTAGACTCAATATCGCTGTAACTATATTAAATATACGACCTGGGAAAACTAAAGCAGTGTCTCTCTCCTCACAGTCCCCCACCGCTGAGTCTCGTTACGGCCTGGACCCGGAGCTGCTGCCCAGCGTCGTAAGTCCTCACGCAGCGAACCGCCCCCATCCTCTCCACCGCCGCCGCCGCCCGCTTATTGCCATGGCAACGCCTCGGCCTCTCTCCCGTCTCCCCAGGTGAAGGTGATTGCAGAGGACGCGGCGGAGTGGGAGGGCAAGGTCTTCGCCTCGGAGCCCTTTTCCCGTCTTCCCCCGCTGGCGACCACGTCCTGCATCATGGAGGACCGGGGTAAACGCACACAGGGCTCTAGACATGTCGCCGCATCCAGCATTCAGCTGTCCTTTAAGCCTCCGCGTCCCTCCCCGCCCCCGCTCTCTGTTGACCTCAAGGTAACGCCAGCCCCCTCGCCATCCGCTCCGCCTCCTACTGCGTTCCCTGCGAAGGCCAGACGGCGCTCCTGAGCCGCCTGCCGCTGGCAGCTCTGCTGACTCCTCTGGCCCGACTGAGCGAGGTCAGTGTGGTTAAAAGCAGCGGAGCGGCCCGACGCGTGTTTAGTCATTTCAACGTGTTGTTGTTGTTGTTGTTGTTGTGGCCTCTCGAAGCCGCTGGCGCTGAGCAGCGAGGCGGCGTGCGTGACGGGCTGCGGCTCCTGCGGCGCCTCCATGTGCCCGGCGATGGGCTGGCAGGACTGCGGTCAGAGGTTCTTCTGCCCCTTCTGCGGTAAACTCAGCGAAGGTACGATTCCACGGTCAGCGCTTCTGCGACGTGTTCGAACCCGCGGAGCGTCCTAAGCCCCTCCCTCCCCCTCCCTCTCTGGTGTTCCAGTGCCGTGGCACCAGTACCAGCCCACCAGGGGGCCGGAGGGCGTCCGGGTGGACCGAGACCAACGGCCCGAGCTCAGCATGGGGTCCTACGAGACGCTCGGCCCTCAGACGGTTCGTCTCCGTGTTTTCCGTCTCTTCCCAAAACAGTTGGAAACTCGAAACAATTCGAGTGAAATCGTATCTAATTCATGTACGTATGTGTGTGTTGTGTGTGTGTGTTACTGTGTTTGTTTGTGTGATGATGTACTTTCTTTCAGGGGGAACCTGCTGCCCTGATTCTGGCCGTGGATGTTTCCGCCTCAGCGGTGAGAGGAGGACATTTGGAGTTTGCCACTCAACAAATATTCACTCTGCTCACCTCTCTGAACAGGTGAGAACCACACACACACACACACACACGGGCACACACTTCTTACGGTTTCCTCCGGCGTGCGCAGCGGGGACGGCGTCCGCGTCGGCCTGATGACGTACGACAGCAGGATCCACCTGTACGACCTGAGCCCGGCTCTGACCCGCCCGCACATGCTGGTCATCGCCGAGGCCGAAGAGCTGCAGCTGCCCGTGAGGGAGGGGCTGCTGGTGCCCCTGGAGGACTGCATCCACGGCATCCACAGGTAGCGCCGCGCCTCGGACGCCGCTCGCGGCCTCATGCATCACATGCCTCACTCTGCGTCTGGTTGTGTGTGTGTGTGTGTGTGTGTGTGTGTGTGTGTGTGTGTGTGTGCAGCGTGTTGCAGCTGATTCCCCAGTTCAGTCCGGAGGGTGGAGGCTCGGGTGGAGTCCCCGTGGAGCTGCCGGTCAGAGCCGGCCTCGCCGTGCTGCAGGTCAGGGATCACCGCTCGCACTCCAACAGTTGGAAATGGTGCTTTTTGTTTCATTCAGCTGAGCTCTTTTTAGGCCCTGAGTTGTCCCGGCAAGCTGCTGGTCTTCCACGCGGCCCCTCTGGTAGAGACGGGGGACACTAACCCGTCCTCGGGCTTCTTTGGCTCCAACAAAGCGAAGGTACGTGGGACGTAGCGCTCACTCTCCTTCGCATTCGCGCAGAATTACACGAAATGAGACGTCCGCGCTCGCGCCGCTTTTCTTCCCCCCCCCTCAGTCTATCTTTCAGCCGTCGGCGCCGGCCGTCTCATTGGCCGAGCAGTGCGTCGAGCAGGGCTGCGGCGTTCACCTGTTCGTCCTCTCCCAGCAAGACGTGGGCGGGGCTTGGCCGGGTCACATTCCGTACCTGACGGGTGGAGCTCTGCACGCCTACGACCACCTCCAGGTACACCGCCGGCTGCCCCCCCCCCCAGCATGAAGTGCATGAAGAAGAAATCTGCGGGTTGTGTTTCTCTGCAGGGAGAACTGGACCGAGAGCGTTTCAGCGCGGATCTGAAGCGCGCCGTAGAGACGGACACCGGCTACAAGGCCGAGCTCAGGGTTTTTGTCAGCAAAGGTGAGATATTTTCCATTTGTTTTTGTGACACAAGGCGGATAATAAAAATCCCCGAGATTCCAACATCCGCCCGTGTCCTCGCCAGATGTGCGCGTGTCCGGCTGTTACGGGCTCTTCCTCCCCGGGGACAGCCCCGGCCGGGTCGCCATGGCGACCCTCGATCGGAGGACAACGCTGGCCGTGGAGCTCGCGCACAACCGAGCGCTGGACGAGACGAGAGGTGTGGCCGTGCAGGTGGGGTCGCGCGCCTGAGCGGCGACGGGTTGGACTGACGGATCCTCTTTTAAATCCTTCGCATAGTTCAGATTGAAATGATTTGTCGAACCTTTTTGTAATTCAGCCACAACATTTTTATCATTTAATATTCTGTCGACACTCTTTTAATTTGCTGTTTGACGATGGCGCTCAACGTCCCTTTTTAACTTGCCCTCTATTTCCCCATAATCCCCCTCTCTCTGTCTCTCTCTATCTCTCTCTATCTCTCTCTGTCTCTCTCTGTCTCTCTCTGTCTCTCTCGCGCCCCGTCAGGCTGTTTTGTCCTACAGCACCCAGGCGGGATGCAGGAGGACGCGGGTCCACACGCTGACGCTGCGATGCTCTCGACACCTGCAGGACACTTTCCGGCAGTACCAGGCCCAGACGTTACTCACCTTCTACTGCAAAAAGAGTGAGGAGCTAAATCACACAGCGCTTAAGAACACCGCAGACCGTTGTTGTAAATAGATGATTGATTTTAATTACATTTTTCATCCAATTTCTGGAAATTATTAGACTGGAGAATGTGACTGTGTAATAATAATAATTATATCAGTCCAATGTTGTTTATTAAGTGCTTATGTTTGCCATCATGTTGCACATTTGTAACAGGCGCTGCCTCCTCATGACGGAGTAGTTTGTGTTTGCAGACGTTGATTGTGTGCTTCCCCGTCTAGTTTACTGCTCGGTGTTGGAGCGCCCTCTACAGGAGCTGAGGGAGGAGCTGCAGACGGAGGTGACGGAGGCCCTGGCCTCCTACCGCAAACACTGCTGCTCCGCCTCCGTGTCCGCCGGACAGGTGAGGTCGAGAAGGTCCACAAAACGGCTTCTTCTCGCCCCTTTAAACCACCAGGATGCACCGTTAGAAACGGCTAAAAGTGACTGAATCTGAATGACGCTTTATTGTGTGTGTGTGTGTGTGCGTGTGTGTGCGCCCTGCAGCTGGTCCTCCCTCAGTACCTGCGTGCACTTCCTGTTTACATCAACAGCCTGAGGAAGAGCGAGGTGCTGCTGCCGGGCCTGCGGAGCTCCGTCCACCAGCGGCTGCAGCAGCGCTGCCAGGTGCTCGCCATGGACGCCGCCGCCACCTCCGCCCACTTCTACCCGCTGCTGCTGCCTCTGGTCAGTCCCCCACCCCCCCCCTCCCCCCTTGCTCGGGAGCGTTGACCTCCGACCTTAATTCTCGCTCGGCTGACGTCGGCGTCACGCTTTCCTTTTGTCCCCCCCGCAGCCGCTCTCGGTGGACGGCGCCGCCTTCTCTCCGCACGCGGGGGAGGCGCTGCGCTGCTGCGCCGCCAGCATGGAGCCCGGACGTCTGTATTTGGTGCACGCGCCCCTCACCCTGCTGCTGTGGGTGGGCTCCCGAGTCCCAGCATGCACCCTGATGGCGCTCTTCAACGCCGGCTGCTTCTCCTCGCTGCCGTCCGGAGAGGTGAGCGGGCCACGTGCGGGCGCCCAGGTTTCCGTGGGCAGCGACGTTTCAACGTTTCTTCTCCCTTGTGTTTCTTCAGACCAAGCTGCCGGTTCTTGAGAACCGCCTGTCGGCCCGCGTCCGATCCCTCGTCCACGCACTGAACTCCGAGGCGCCCTGCGCCCGCAAGGTGTGGCGCCGAGCAAAACACACTTCTAATACTCCTGCTAGACGGCCCATTTTAGAGCTGATGTTGTCCACTGGAATATTCCTTACGTTGTTTTCCTCAGAACTCTGACTTCTTACTTAATCTTAATCTATTTAGTTTTGTGCAAATTTAACAAAGAGATCCTGAAGGATCTGTGATGATCGCAGCAAGAGGTCGAGCGCACACATTTGTTGCATCATGTGTTGTTGCCGTGGGGACTGAGAGGAAGAGAACGTCTTCATTGGTTTTCGTGTCTTGTGACGTTGACGCTTCCCCCCCCTTTGAAATATAGTCCAAATAAAAAAGGCGAGATCGGAAGGCTGTGTGTAACCTCTTCCTCTTCGTCTTCCTCACCGGCCTCGCCGTCAGGACAAATGTCTCCTCACGTCTGTTTTTCTGTCCCAGCTGTGGGTGGTGAAGCAGGGCGACGCCTGCGAGGAGGTCCTGCAGCGCCACCTGGTGGAGGACAAGAGCCCCAACGGGGGGGCGTCCTACGCCGACTTCCTCTACCATCTCCACGTCAACTCCGTCCGGCTCCTGCAGTGACTCCCCGGTGGGGGTCGCAAGCAAAAAGGACTCAACCGCGTTATTAAAATATGGAAGGCCTGTTTTTAAGAGTGCAGCGATGCGCTGGAAGTGTTGAATGTGATCTGTGCTGTTCTGAAAAATGTGGTTATGATGTTAATTTATTCTTGTGTGTGTGTGTGTGTGTGTGTGTGATGCCCACAGTGGGTTCTGTATGTGAATAACTCATAATTAAATCCATGAAGGCTTTAATTGAACCTTGATTGAGGAATTTTTTTTCCAGTGTTTAGTAAACATTAACAGATCTTACTTGTAGGGTATTAACAAGACCCCAATTGGTGAGTACAGCAATATATAAAATAAATTGTGTGGTCATGTAAATAGCAGAAAGCAAGTTTGCATTGCTTTATACCTTTTATAAAAAATACAGCATATTAATAATGAAGACAAGTATTAATTTCTTTAATGTCTCAATGCTGTCTTTGCATTTAAATAAATGTTTTTTGTAACGTTTCGCGGACTAAACCGTGAAAATATGTCTCATCGAGTCCAGATACACACGCGCCGTTTCCCCCAAGGCACAAAACCAGCTCGCTCATATTTGCCCCTATTTGGAATTACGCACCGTGCAGGCGGGAGTTGTGTTCGATTACAGCGCCGCGCGTTGCAGGTGTGTCTTCTGGCCGCCAGAGGGCGACAGAGCGACTCCTGCGCCGCCTCCCATCGGTGGCCCTGCGCCCGAACCCAGCGGACTGCGTCAAGCCGGACAGATTCATCAGCATAAGACCGGAAGACGATTAATTGTTTCCTTCAAAATAAACTACATTACTGCATTACTGACTGATGACCACAAGGAGGCAGAAAACCCCTTACAATCCACCAATATTCCACATATATTGAGAACTTGTTATTCAGTGGGTTAACGTTCAGAATATAGTATTTCATTATATCTAAGCAGTTTGGAAGGTTATTATGACCCCCCCTCCCCCCAACTCCTAGCATAGCGTTTGAGGCTTCTGAACAAGTTAACACCGTAGCATGGTGAGGTTAAAATGTTTGACACGCTTTTAAACAGTGTTGGTGAGTCGAGCTACTTCCAAGCTCGACTCACAAAGATTGTTCATTTCACATCGTGTATCTGCAGGCGGAGTTTAATTTGGTCACCAAATTCATCGACAATTAAACTGTGTTAAATCAAACCTCAGCTAAAACAAACCATTACAGAACTTTATTTAATAATCTTATATAAAAAATGAAATACTAATACTATTAATATACAGGTTTATTTATTATATATATATATATATTAATAGTATATATAAAACATGAATATGTAAAAAAAATGGTTATTGTTAAAATCATAACAAATGGCACGTTTTATTTTGTAACTGCCAGCCGGAAGTGGCTCCGCCTCGCCGGGTGCGTGCGGGTGCGTGTGCGCGCGCGGGCTGTCAGAGAGCAGCACACCGACGCAGAGACGGAACAGCGAGCCTCTCAGCATCGAACCCTCCTTCCACTGAACGCATCTCACTCGCTGCTGGGCGGACCCCGCGTGTCTCTGTGTGCGCGTATTTATATTTTTTAAAACGCAAATTTAAGCGCAAACTTAACCGCGTTTTTTTTGTTGTTGTTGTTGTGGTTGTTGCTTTTTGGGACCTTTTCAAAGTAAAAGAAGCGAGAGACCAGAGGAGCGACATGGCCACCACGACCTGCACCCGCTTCACGGACGAGTTCCAGCTGTACGAGGAGCTGGGGAAGTGAGTATGCGCGCGCCCGTGTGTGCGTATGCGTGCGTGCGTGTGTGTGTGTGTGTGTGTGTGTGCGCGCGTGTGTGTGTGTGTGTGTGTGTTTTGGAGCTCTCAAAGTACTCTCTCTCTCTCTCTCTCTCTCTTAAACGTTCACTGGCTCTTTTCATAACAGTGTCACGTGTGTTGCGGGATCGACACAAACACAAAAGTGACGTAAAATGCAACAATGTTGCGTGTTGATATTTGTTGTACATCCGGTAGGTGAATGTGATCTTCCCGCACACACAGTCGGGTTTTTACAGCCGTTCATGTGAAGGCGTGACGCCTCCTTTGCAACACTGTGGGGGCAGATAACACAAGAAGAGATACTCTGCAGTGGTAACAACAACAAAAACAACAACAACAACAACAACAGCAGCAGCAGCCATCCGCCTCCTGCACGAGGCGCCACTAACCGCACGTGCACACACGTCTTTGTTAACCTGGGACAGAAAGTTCTCAAGAAAACCGCTGACTCACTTTTGACTTCAGCTTCTTGAAAATGTCCCTGGAAATACAACTTACAATTGAAATGATTGGGGAATAAAATGATGTTTTTGCCATAATATAACATTTTAATATTTTCTATTTAAGTATTGCTGTAAAAACATCATCGATAAACGTGATTTGTTGAAATTTCTCACCCCAAACCCACTCGTCACGGATTGAGTGCGTTGCACGTGACCAACCAACAGTGAGCGGCCTGCAAACGGGACGGCGTTTCGTTTGATAAATACTGAAAACAAGGATGACGGGCAATAAAGAATTGGGAAGATTGTCTTTGGAGTTTTCAGCCGTCACCCGTATTTTTCGGGGCCTTCTTTTAAGCCAACTTAAGCCTATTTTTAGCCCTCCGTCTGTAGCTAAACCAGATAGACGCTCCCTTTTTAATCTCTTTAGTAATAAATATTGTCAACATGGCAGAAGTTATTTCCTGTCACACTCTTATTTCCCAAAGCCAGCGGGACTTCCTTTACGGGATATTCAACCTTTTGTTTCCATATAACGATTTTAATCACCCGCCTCTTCTTTCCCGGGGTACAAAGGCACTAAAGTAGTCGGTGAATGTGAGATAATCGAGTCCCCCCCCCCACCCCCCCTACGAATCCTTTCGCCGCCGTCGCCTTTCGAAGCCCTCGGCGGGAGACTCTAACCGGCGCAGGAACACCTCTCCGGAGGGGGAAGCCGCGCAGGTGTGGATGGACCCGCCGTCGCCGTCGCCGCTGGCAACGCTCCCCGAGATTCTGTGATACCAATCCGACATCTGAGGGGCGGCTAATTGTCGCACGCCGCCTCTCTAGTGGTGTCGCTCTCCGAGCGGAGTGTGTGACATCTGAGCTTTTAGTGTGCTCGTCCCGTTGATCACGCATCCCAATGTTCTTCTGCTTTATTTTCATATATACATGCATATGTGTGTATGTGCATGTATGCACAACACGACTTCTTCCCAGTTAATTTACGACACAAACTGCAGATTTTCCCCATAAAGTGAACGGCGACGCGGCGCTGAGAGTCTCTTTCCCGTCTCCGCCGCCCGTCGAGGGGAGACGTCCTTCTCTCCCACACAGCTGCTAGAAAGACATTCAAAGCAGCGAATGGAGCTCACGAAGAACTCCGGCCCTCGTCCGCCCGGGGGTGTCCCGTTTCACCTCGCTCAGACGCTGAGCGTCCCGAGTGTAGATTTCTGAAGCGTCGTCCTGCAGCACGCGAGTCTTCAGCGCAAAAGGTCAAAGCGATCCGCTTACAAAGACCCCTCGCCCGACTAATTCTGTTAAAAAATGACTTGAGGTCAGTTTCAATCCCTCCGCGTGCACTTTGATTCATGACCTGTTACCCTGCGTGTGTGTGTGTGCGTGTGTGTGTTAGCGTATTTAGCCCTCTCGATGGATTCTTACCTCACACAGTGTGAACTTTCCAGGCACAGCTGTGGAGTTTGGTGTCAGTAATGTGTGTGTGTGTGTGTGTGTGTGTGTGTGTGTGTGTGTGCGCTGATATGCAGCCGTGTGTCGTCTGGTTTTCTTGATTTTTCCTTGTTTTCGCTGCTGAGAAAGGCCGGTGGCGCGAGCGAGGCCGAAAAGACCCGCACGCCGTGACCCCGTGACCCCGGGGGGTCAGGTGGTGAATCACACTCCCTGTCACACGTTCCCATAGATTTACTCCCTATTATCAACATTCAAACCAGCGTTATTGGTGTTTGCGGCCGTGAGTCATAATTGTTCCCTCATCTCGAACGTAAAAGATTCAGACAACTGAAACCTCAAATCAAATCTGGCTGAATATCCCCCCCGTCCCCCCCTTACCTGCACAGGTACGTCGGGTTGATTAGCAGCGCCTGCTCTCCGTATCCTCATCGCACAACGCATCGGACATTTGAGCGGGAGAATCAGAGCTCCATTTTTAGTTCCCGCGCGGAGGGAAACCACAGATGTGTCGCTGTCGCTGTTGCAGCAACCCGCCTGGTGGGCCGTGATTCCGCTGCTGCAGAAACTACATCATCTCCTTTCTGTGCGTAATCAACCACGGGGGAGCTTTGCATATGGGGGGGGGGTTGCATGCAGACTTTCCAAGTTAATTTGGGATTCATAAAAGGAAATTGTGTCGAGGCCATCTCGAATGTGACTTTTAATATCCAGATGCATCTCTCTCTCTCTCTCTCTCCCCACATGTTGTTCATAATTTTGCCGACGGCGCGCTGAACCTCGCGGGAGCCAATTAAGCCGGCCAATCCTGACGCCGGCGTCTTTTAGCGCGGCTAGCTGCACTTAACGCGGGCGACCGACATCGGGCCCGGGAGGGAGAAAAAAAAAAAAATGCCGGCTGTGCAGAAAAAGCTGGAGCTGATTAAGACGTCTTGGGGGGAGACGACGGCGTGCGATGCGATCAGAGACGCACGGGTTCCGACAAGCACTCCGAGTTGACCAAATGTCTGTTTTCCCTCCCTGTGTGTTTTTGCAGGGGAGCCTTTTCGGTGGTGCGCAGATGCGTCAAGCTGTGCACGGGACAGGAGTACGCCGCCAAAATAATCAACACCAAAAAGCTGTCGGCCAGAGGTGAGCGTCCGCCGCCTGTCGGGGCTCTTTTGGGACGTGCAAGACGTGGTGCTTCCGGCCGAGACGGGGGTTGTGTTTTGAGTGACGGGTTTGAAGGAGTCTTCCGGGTGTCCGAGCCTTTTCATTAACGGCGTAACGTCATTTAAATAAAGGTCAAGCGCAGGTCGGGCCACACACACACACACAGATCATGCATTGAGGAATACAACACATGGCAGTTTCTCAAATACACAACAAAGTTAATGCCCAAGTTCCACCTGTTGGGTGTTTATAACAAAAATTATATCACAATTAGGATTTGTCGGTCCAGTGTTCAAACTTCTTTTCTGCTGCACACAAAATGGATTTTTAAGGTGTTAGATTGTCCGGCCGCCGCCGTTAGTTCATGTTGAGGCTTGAATCTTTTTGCAGCCGCAGAGCCGCCGTCTCCTCGTATTTCATTTTGTTCGGTAAGATAAATAAAGCCATTAATGGTCGTCCACAAAACGACGGAAGACAACCGTTCAAACGCTGCGGCAGCTTTTCACCTTCTGCCTTTTAACGAGATCATCGCGCCGCCGTTAACCGTTCATCCCGACAATCGGCCCGGAGGACGGACTCACTCGCAGTCAACAACGCACCTCTGCGTTGTCGGCGAGGGCAGCTGCTCGTGGCGCTCATGAGGCCCGCCGTGATCTAACCCGCCCCCACGATGCACACTCGGTTGGCGAGGGCCGGCCCGACGCCTGACCGGGCGGTGCGAGGCTGCGCAGGCCGCCGGTTGCAGCCGCCGCATACTGACTCTCCTCCGGACCCCCTATTCATAGCGCCGTGACCCGTCTGACACGGGAGCCGGGCGCCGCGGGCCGCCACGACTTACTGCTCTGCTTTAGAATCGGGCCTTCGGGTCAGCCCGCCGGGCAGCGGCGGCGGCGTTGTTGTTGTTGTTGTGGTATTTCTCAGGCTGCAGGTCGGGGTTTGTGAGCTTATAGGAACCGCAGCGAATCGGGAGGAGCGTTTCTTTTCTGCACTGCAGATGAGGTGGAGCCGACGGGAGGGAGGGGTCAAGCGAGAGAAGGCACCCCAGGCACTTGGCAGCTGAGGGCCGAGCGCCTGTACGCCTACATGCCTTTAGCACGGGACTCTCATCTGACTCCCTCTTTCTCTCGGACACGCGCACACACACACACACACACACACACACACACACACACACACACACACACACACACACTCAAGCAGCTATTCAGACATTGCAGAGGAGCTGAGAGTGATGCACTTGATTTCTTGCTTGTTGCTCATAATATTACACGCACACATGCACACATCCAGGCTCCTTTTCGAGTGCGTGTCATCTTCAAATAACCCAAGCCCCTCCTCCCCAACTCCTCCCCCCTCCTCCCCCCCCCACTGTGCAACAGCATGAAGGTTAATGCCAATCCGAGACACATCATCAGGAAATGTAGGACAGGTCTGTTGGGCGAAGCTTTTAGCCAATTGCAGAGCTCGTTGGCGGTGATCTCTGGCCAGGGGGTCGCTGTGTGGCCTTTCCATTTGTCATGATGGTGGAGATTGTGCGTGCGTGTGTGTGTGCGTGCGTGTGTGTGCGCGCTCTCTCTGAGAGTCACCTGCATTGCAGCAGCGGCGCTCTGACCCGGTTTGTGGCTCGCCGGATAAGCAGGGCAGATGTAGTCGCTCCAGCTTTTAATGTAAGAAATGTGCATCCAAAGCACCAAATCAGCTGAGATCAACACTTTGTCAGTAGATCCTGATTTGTTTGCTTGTATGTTTCTGCCCACTGTGCCTTCTTATGAAGAGCCGCCATCAAAACGCCTTGTTTGAGAGGTTGGGTCGTCGGTTCACGTGAGGTTTATCTCCCATCGATCGAACCAGCTTTCTTTTAATGTCAGAATACTTGAATGTCAAACTTAGTCATTACAAAAGAGGTTGCGTTGTCTCATTTGAGGTCAACCTCCATCAGTGAATCCCAAGGCAAATTCTCAGTGTTCCATTTTGATCTCCATTTAAAGAGATTTGAAGCTTAATCGAGTCTAGAAAGAAGTAGATCTAGTTGTATTTGGCATAACGAGTTTCCATGCTTAATATTTAAAGAATATTTCGCTTAAATTCAACTTCGATGCTTCTCACGCTGCTCCAACAGAAAGGAAAATGCATTTTTTAATTTTCTACATCTATTGAGCAAATAATTGAGGTAAATGAAAGACAACGGTTTATTATACAGTAAGTTCAACCTCACAGTTTAAAATTGTATTAAAATAATATGCAATCATGTAACAACTCAAGAGTCCATTTGGCTGCACATTGTGTACTTTTGCCTCTGTACTTGAAGTCTGTTCACTCGGTGACGTTCTTTCATACTATTATAAACACATAAATCACCCATAGTCTCCTCATCGTTCCTTTTTAAGTAATCAGTTATTGACCGATTCATTTTTGCAGCGCAGGAAACCGATAAACAGCTGCACACAAAAAAGGAAAAAACGACAACAATCAGAGACGTCTTCATGTTTAAGCAGACCCACAGCGCACGGGCCTCATGCATAATTACCCCGGCATTTTCTCCTCTTTTTTTTTTTTTTAACCCCTCCTCCCCCGTCAACCCTCCTTTTCTCCGCCTCGCTCCTCTCGTTTCCTAAGACTTTAATCGCCGGGCTCACACTCCGCCGTCACTCCTCACTGTCAGCGTGCGTGCGCGCGTGTGCGCGCGCTCCGGTTTTGTGTATCGGCGGGCACCGTCCTGTCCAATTGTGGGTATTTAATCCCATGCAATTTGCACATGTGTGTGTGGGTGAACACGTGCATGTCTGTGCTGCACACACGGGGTGAAGGGCACCCATGTAAATGCATAACCTGCACCTCTGCTCCCAATCACAGGCAATTGAATTCAGAATAATGGAGCAGAATGTAACAGAAAATAAATTTAAAAAGTTGTTGGTTGGTTGCATTGATTTTTGAGGGTTGTAAATAATAAATGATCTGTTAACATTTAATCGTTTTTATTGAAGGAACCTTCAGCAGCGGAGTGCAGTCTTTTGTTACGATGTATTAAATGGCAGGAATATGAAATCTGCACTCAACAACGTCTCCAACGTCCATTTTTTAAAACGTAGGCCCCCACGTTAACGTCAAGCTTCTCGTTCCACAAGATGGATGGAACCGACTGTCGTAATGTGCTTGTTGTTAATCTCTGCATCCGTCTGTAATCATCAACACATCGCTTCATTGCGGCTCATGCGATACATCCACTGTTCAGAATGAGCGTGTTTTAAGGAGCTGTGCATCTGCAGTAATATTATGAGAATGACTCGTCTGTGTGTTCATGTCTCTGTCTTCAGATCACCAGAAGCTGGAACGAGAGGCTCGGATCTGTCGCCTGTTGAAACACTCCAACATCGGTGAAGGCGCTTCTTCCTTCTGCCGTCTCACTTAATCCAAAGTTAATCTTAAATTTCCTGTTTGCTTCAAAGACGTATTTGTCTTGTTTTTAAGCATATTCCATTCATTCTTATTTCAATACAAAATAAATCGCTTTTCTACTACATTTTGTTAAGTGAGTTAAAAAAAGAATGCACTACAACTCAATACAAAGGACAACTTGTCTTTGCTGACAGATGTAACAAATATTGATATAAGAATAAACATTACTGTAGCTTTTATATATTTAAATTAATATATCAAAGAAGATTTCACAGTTTAATAAATAATATTTTTTTAATTAAATGTCATTTAACAGACTCATTTTAAACATTTTTTATATATTTTTTAATCTTACAAGTATATTTGATTGAAGCCTTTATTCACAGAACCCTCTGCAATAATGTGAACACATACAATGTAAGACTGAATTATTATGAC